AGGAACACAGATTGCAGGTGTTTGAGAATATGGTGTTGAGGAGGATATTTGGGCCTAAGAGAGAAGACGATGGGGCATGGAGAAAACTGCATAATGATGAGCTTAAAAATCTGTACTGTTCCCCCAGTATTGTCACGGTGATTAAGTTGAGAAGAATGAGATGGGCGGGGCATGTAGTGCGCATGGATGGGACAAGAAGTGTGCACCAGGTATTGGTTGGGAAGCCTAAGGGGAAGAGATCACTGGGGAGACCTAGACGTAGATGGGAGGATAATCTCAGGCGGGATCTATGGGAGATAGAAATTGAAGGAGACTGGATTTCGTTGGCCCAGGACAGGGTCCGGTGGAGGGCTTTGGCTAATTCGGTGATGAACCTTCGGGTTCAGTAAGCCATCTAGTTAGTTAGTTAGTTAGTTAGTCTGTCATAGCTCTTCAGGTCATTGGTGCACACAAGCTCCCTTAGCGGCACAAAGGCTTCGTCAAAGTAGAGATACCATTGATGGAGTTCTAAATGTGGTTGTATCATCAAGGTTTGCCACAAAAGTTGTGTGAGCAGATTTCTTGATTTTAGGTGTGAATCTTATGTTTTACAGTACCACCTCTTGAGCGTCCTACTACAGGCCCAGCTGCACTAATTGATGTCTCTGAAGAAAGTATGGAGAAAAAGCTTTCCAAGCTGCCACCAGGATCTTTAGAGCTCAGAAACCATTGTTGTCAATATAACACATTTGAAATCAACAGAGCATTTGATGAGATGACTATACCTGACAACAGCTTACCATCACTTGATGGACAACATATGCAGACATTAGGTGAAGTGATGCAGGAAGGGTCTGTGGTTCCTTATGTCGAAGGGAATAGTGTTGCTATAACAAGACGTTTCAAAATACCAGAATCTGATGAACAATTAGAACAGGAGACTTTACCTGTGGACCTGTTGGAAAGATCATCAAGGTAAGAGAATGAAGTAAGACATGACAGTCAGCAAGGCATGATTACCAGATTAACTGGATGATGTTTTCTTAATATTGACCAATCAGAATCATTATTAATTTTTTTAATGTTGATGAAATATTGTAATGGACTACTTTTTATCATGACTTTGTAGGCTATTACCCATTTTCTTGGAATGGAGAGTCAACACCCTCCTTCTCTGTCTCTTTAATAGCCATGTTAATATTATAATCAGATCTGTGCCAAGGTTTTCCAAATGCCTTTTTTGTCAAGTTTTCTGACCAGCATTGAATGCATCATATAAGACTGCTGACATATGTGCATTATCTGTTTCATTCTGTTCAATTTTGCCTAATTATATTTAGTGAGGAGGACACATATGAGCATTTCCATTTTGTGTTATCTTTATGTTATACAGTTCTGCACAGTAACTGTTACACTCTTACTTGAAAATATCATTCTTTATTTAATGCCGCAGTGGGTATTCAAACTGATGATCTTGGGTTAAACATGCCAGCAGACTGTCATCAAAGGAGTCTCAACGTCCAGGGCATGATTTTTTGGGATAAGGTGTCTGAGATGGCTGGGATTCTCTGCTGCTCATCATAAACTTTATTATTTAAATAGACACAAAAAGGAGTCAAGAGGAGTAAGATCAGGTTGTCTTGCAGGCCAGTGTATGGGTCTGCCCCTACCCATTCATATCAGATATGTTTCATTTGGATGATTTTGAACATTGACTAGCCAATGCGGTATAACCGTGTTATATTCACACCACATATGAAACCTTGTTCACAGTGGTATTGTTTCTAAGAACAGAGGAAGGTCTTTCTGGAGAAACTGTAGATTCCAATTTCAATATTGATACCCTCTAAGAAGTGTGGTCAAATCACATGATCTCCCAAGATCCTACACCACACATTAACACCCTGGTTTATCTGAAATACTGTCTTTTATACCCACTGGGGTAATCAAAACCTGAGTACTGCAGGTTATGTCAGTTAACAGTGCCACTGTTATGAAATCACTAATCTGCAAAAAAGTAGTAGTGAAAGGAACACAGTATTTGCAGACAGTTAACTCAGTAACCACTGGAAGTATACTATTCAATTTCTGAAGAGTGACCCATACAGTTCTTGATACATCTGAAGTTGGTAAGGGTGAAACTTGTTCTTAAAAATTTTAATGACAGAGAACTGACTGATATCCACCTGTTGAGTGGTTAATGTGGTGCTCGTGAAGGTTTTGAGGAACTGTGTCCAACACATTTTCTTTGACGGCACTTGTAACTTGAGCTACTTTTCTGCCATTTTCTATGTTAATCATCCCAGTGTATTGCAGTTCTTTCAACTCAAGAAAATGTAGTCACACTAGGAAGCCTCAGCACACTAATAATAAAGAATTGAATTGAATTGAATTATTGCTGGAAAATGCATTGCGCTTTGCTAGCATTTTGGTTCTCACCATAAGGTAGTAGCATATCAGGGTATTCATTGTTGGATATGATTATGAATAAAGCGTTCCAGTCAGTCATTCTTCTTTTTGTAGTTCAATAACATTGAGCATCCAGATAATCAAGAAAACAAATAGGCTGTACAGTAGTCTTATGGGCAGTAATAATGGAGGGAAATAGCACATTTCCATTGCTCTTTACTCTACTCTTAATTCTTTCATGAATAAGTTTTGGTTTATTACTATCCAACCCAAGTATTGTCTCACAAGTCTGCCATGTTATTACGGACGTAGGAAATTTAAAAGTAGTGGCCTCCAGTGTTCATTCCAAGGTTCATAAGAATTGGGAAATTGATTTAAAAGTTGGGAAACAGGGGAACATACTGACACACATGCAGACGTGACAATCTCATAAGCTTACTTTTCCCTTGAGGAAGGAAAGGAGGCTAAACATGTAAAAATGTCAACAATCTGTGGTTTCAGTGATCACATAATGGAATGAAAGTGTTATTTTGTTTGACTATATGTGTCATAAACCTCATTCCAGAAGATCAAGAATGCTAGAACATTTCCATAATTGATGTTCATGCATTTGTGTTCTTGTAGGAACACCTGTCTACATCAGGATACATTATTACCACATGTGCAATACTTTGAGCTAGAATGTTTTACAAACTATTTTAATGAGTTATCACTAGCCAGTAATGGAGGAAGGAAACTTGGTGCAGGGGCATTTGGTTCTGTAAGTATTATTTATTGTGTAACTGGTATTTTTGCTTGCTTTAGGTATGTATGTGTTTGTTGCATGTGTATATTTTCACCCTTTTTTCTCACCACACTTATTCCCATGTGACCACTTTCATGTGACTGAAGATGATATTATTCTTAGCATTTACAATGAGGCACTCAAACCTCCTTCGATTTATAATTAATTATGAAACAATTATTCCATTAGACATGGGGTTTACACATGTGGCCCACCAACGTCTTTTACGTAACCTTTGTATAGTTCTGTAGTATTTTATCTGTATGTTATGAAATAATTGCCACCTAAATTAGAATTTGTTATTGTATGTATATATTTGTGCTTTATTTAACCTTTATTAATTGTGTGTTCCTGCTTTCACACAATCCAGCTGGCTGTGTGCTGAAGTATTAAACCCTGTATTTAAATTTCTGCTGGCATTTTCATAGTTCTGGTTTTTAAATTCTTTATACCCATACAAAAAATGTTAACAAAACTGATCATAGTTTGGACTATATAGACTTGTTGGTTAATGAGTTATGAATTAAAAAGGATGTGGAAGGAAGTGCTTATGAACTAATTTAAGGTATTATCCCAGCAACCAGCATGAACAATTTTTATTAAGATAGCCAATCTCTGGGATGAGATTTGAGTCCAAGACCTTCTGAGTGTGAAGAAAGAATGTTAGTGACAGCTGCAATGTTTGGTTGAGAAAATAATTTAATAAAATTTTAACCTGTTTGCAATGGTAGTTTGTGGCATTTTTAATGAATTGTTGTAATTTATACCAGAGTAGCCCGAAAGTCAATTAGGAATGGGTGAGTGCAGTACCACGTCTTGAGATTTCTTGAACCCCTGCTTTAGACCGAGTCTTTTGGGATAATTTGGACCTAACATTGGGTTAAGGTATGAGGTATTAGACTCTTGGCCTAGGTGTATTTTACAGTAAACAAATAATACAACAAATAATTTCCACTTGATGATGATGATGATGATAATAATAATAATAAAAACAGTACACGAATCTCAGTCATATTTCCAGTGCACATAGTCAGGAACACTCTTTGGAAACCTAATTGTGACTCACTCATGGTTCACTCTTTGTTTCTGTTTGATCTTTCTTTGTGTCTTAGCTTAGCAGGCCCTCATCCTCCTGAGGCAGAGATTTAAACCAACAATAGAACCAAGTCCTGAACAACATTAAATTAAGCAAAAAGAGACAAACATTCTCTAAAGACAAAATTTAACTTTTTCTCTACCCAACTCCTTGAGAGCAGAGAATGGTTCCTCATGAAAGTGTATTACTTAAACTAGACAGAGACCAGGTGATGAATGACTGGGGAAGCAAATTTGACTATAAAAGAGATTATCGCAGCCTACTTCTGTCTCTCCTCACTCTTACAAAGCAGGGAACTGGAAAAGGTACAGAGAAATTCTTATCACAACTGCAGTGAACCTTAGCATTGAAAATATTGCATGACTTACAGGGACTATACCACAGGCATAAACTCCATTCATGCAAGCAGCTTAAGATGTTTGGCAAGTCTTCTTAGACAGGTGATTGCCCCATTGCTGAGGCAATAAATTAAAAACTGATGTGAATTGAATTACTAAAAATTCTGTGACATCCATTGGGATCCATTTGCTGATTTTCTAGTTGCTAAATTAAACCCAAAGCTAGCTGAGAAAAGTTGAACAATCCCAGTTTATATGTTCATCACTCATGTTGGTATACCGGTATCACAGTACATCATTGACACTCTAATGTCTGCCTCAGACATTGAACTGGTACTTGAAATGTGCCATGTAATATATTTGTGTAAGAAATTGGGACATGCCATGACATTTAAATTTAAGCAGATGGAATATGGAAATAAATTAAAAGCATAAAATTCTTCCTTAAGATTCATGTCTGCATCCATGATGTATGAACAGTCTTGTGTAATATTTGGTACTGCATGAGTTTGCAACATTTACACTGACATTGGTTAATCTATTTGCACTGGTTAGTTTGGGGTTATACTGCAATGTGGCCTTTCTGCTGTGCACTTTTATTTCATTGGTTGCTGTGATTTGTGGTAAGTCAGCATTTTTGATGAGAGTAAATGATATGCTTCTTTGTGATGGTTGTACATAACCCAGTGTTGTATATGGTTCCCTTTGTGTTGGACATGCACTACAACATTGAGTCTTTTTGTGTTAATCTTATATAAAGCATGTCAGGGAAAATTTAATACATAGTTTCCTGTCGCACTAGTTCCTCATCTTGTCAATAATGTAAGAATAACTGGCTTTTTGGTTTTCACAGCAATAAGTATGAAGATGGTTATCTTTTGGGTTCTAGCACTGTGTAGTCTGGTAGAATTTTACCAACATTTCAGAGGTCCTTGCTGCCTCTGTCATCACCCTTATAATGGAGGCAGCAAGGACTTCTGAAACATTGGTGAACTTCTGCCAGACTACACAACACTACAACCCAGGAGGCAGCCATCTTCATAATCTTTGAGTATTAACAGAAGAGAAGTATGACAGCATTGGCTTTAACAATCTTCTAAAGCACTTTTCACAAGAAACAGTGGTATCAAATGGGATTGTAGTGAGAATTTATATAAAATTATTGAAACAGCAGGCTCACAATGCTACAATTGTGAACTCTTCGCAACCACATGATTCAGTAGGCAGCCTTAATGCCTGTAACGGATATATTCATTTAGTTCATGATGGCCAACTTTATCTTCAATTGACACTTATTTCAGATGAGGTTTGGCTTTGTATTAGTGAATACATGAACACAAAAAAAACCGATACTGGGGCACAAACAGTCCATTCTAACTAACTAACTAACTAACTAGATGGCTTACCGAACCCGAAGGTTCATCACCGAATTAACCAAAGCCCTCCACCGGACCCTGTCCTGGGCCAACAAAATCCAGTTTCCTTCAACTCCTATCTCCCATAGATCCCGCCTGAGATTATCCTCCCATCTACGCCTAGGTCTCCCCAGCGGTCTCTCCCCTTCAGGTTTCCCAACCAGTCCCCGGTGCACACCTCTTGTCCCATCCATGCGCGCTACATGTCCCGCCCATCTCACTCTTCTCGACTTAATCACCCTCACAATACTGGGGGAGCAGTACAGATTTTAAGCTAGTCATTGTGCAGTTTTCTCCACGCCCCATCGTCTTCCCTCTTAGGCCCAAATATCCTCCCCAACACCCGATTCTCAAACACCTGCAATCTGTGTTCCTCCCTCTGAGTGAGAGACCATGTTTCGCACCCATACAAAACAACAGGCAAGATTATTGTTTTGTATACTTTAATTTTCAGGTTCTTAGAAATCAGACGGGAAGACAAAATATTTTGAACTGAGAAGTAGCAAGCATTTCCAGAATTTAATCTCCTCCTAACTTCCTCATGAGTGTCATTTTGATTTGTTATTGATACTAACATGTACTTAGTTTTTTCTGAATTTACTTCCAGCCCCACTTGTCTACCAGCCTCTAGTAAAACTTCTGCGTTCCTCTTTATTGTATTCATATCGTCCATCAATAAATTAACATCATCAGCATATGCCAATAGCTGATGTGTCCCGTTCAATTGCAAACCCTCCTGCCTATCTTGGACTTTCCCGATGGCATATTCTAACGCAACGTTAAAGAGCAAGGGAGACAAAGCATCTCCTTGTTTTAGACCGTTCTTGATGAGGAATATCTCAGATACATATTTACCTATTCGAATTTTGTTACAGGTTTCATTTAAATACATATTTACCTACTCGAATTTTGCTGCAGGTTTCATTTAAGCACATTTTTATTAGACCCACTAGCTTCTTTGGTATACCAAATTCAATAAGAATATTATATAGCACTTCTCTCTTCACAGAGTCATAGGCTTTTTTGAAATCTATAAATAACTGATGTACAGTCCCACCGAACTCCCATTTTTTCTCTAGTATCTGACGAATGCAAAAGATCTGATCAATCGTTGATCTGTTTCGTCTGAACCCACACTGATGATCCCCAATAGTTTCATTCGCATATGGGGTTAATCTTGCCAAAAGAATGTTGGATAGAATTTTGTATGAGGTTGATAGCAGCGATATTCCTCGGTAATTACCACACTCAGTCTTGTCCCCCTTCTTATAAATAGGAATAATTATGGATTCCTTCCATTGATGTGGCATCTCTTCCTTATCCCAAATTAACTGAATAAGCTTATGGATCCTCATATGCAACCCTTTGCCACCTGCTTTAATTAATTCGGCCGGAATCTGATCAATTCCTGGAGATTTATAACTTTTCAACTTCCCAATGGCTAGTTCCACTTCATCTAAGCTAGGTTCTGGCACCAACAGTTCAGCTGTATGCATTTTAATCTGTCTAATATCACCAGTATTATGAACATTTAAGAGCTCGCTAAAGAAATTTTTCCACCTATTCACAATTTTTATTGGATCTGCAAGCAAATTGCCACTATCATCCTTTACCAAATTAGTCTGGGGTTGATATCCTTTCTTAAAGTTATTAATGCCTCTGTACAGGTCTCTGATGTTTTTTTCCTTATTATTTGTCTCAAGTTCAGCAATTTTGCCCTTCAGGTATTCCCTTTTCTTAGTCCTAAAGGTTCTACTAGCCTCACGTCTCACGTTACATAGATTATCCGCATTTGTTTTGTTTGGGTTCTGCAACCATTGAAATTTTGTTTGCTTCCTTCGATCTATTAATTTTGAACATTCTTCATCAAACCACGGTTTATTTTGCTTTCTCCTGTAGTATCCTAGTTTCTCTTTTGCTGAAATTTTGATGCAGTTTCTGACATTTTCCCACTCCCTGTTGATGTCCACACTTTCATTATCCTCATTTGTCTCTAAAATTTGAAACCTATTCGAAATTTCAACTTGATATTGTTCCTTTGCCTCTCCCTCACTTAATTTTTTCAAATCAAATCTTTCTGTGTCAAAATTTTGTTTAGTTCGTCTACTTACTGAAAGCCGCTCCCTC